TCTGCTTGTTTTCTCAGTTATTACTATTTAATGGCACCTCTTGGATGAGCGAATTCTTGTTTAACAACTTCCAGGTAGATCGCCGTACATTCTAAAAGGGAGGGGATTGCAGTTTACAAAAATAGGCTGTTCCAACAACAGTCATTTGCTGACATCAGGTAATTTGTAAGCTGTATTTACCAAATCTGCTGTCTGTGCTCTTACAAGCATTTTGGAGCTGATGGAGCCAGTAGAAGGCCTTTCCCTTTCGGTGGAAACTTTCCCTAGTTTGTTGCCCTTCTTTGTGTTTCAGAGAGAGTAAAACAAAAAGGAGCAGCTAATTTACCTTTACGTTTCTTGACATGTGGGATTAAAGCCAAGTTTTCTTTATTTTATATAGCAAGAGAAACTAAGGAAAGGGACAATAATTGGACAGAACTAACAGGACATTTCTATTTAAGGGACAGCAAGATCATGTTGGCTCTTATTTACTCTAGCAAGGATTAAAATAGATCATCAGAAGGTTAGCAAATACCAGAACTTCAGATGTCTGAAAGATGAGAGCTTGAATTTTTCCTACAAATGTTTAATTTTTCACCAAAACATCCTAAGAACAAAGTGCTGGTAGTAGGAAGGTAACTTTTATGGTTGATTAGGAGATTACGGCAAGGGAGAAGCCTGGTGGGCATGGGGATTTACAGTGGCCGCCACAGAGTTCATCACAGCAAGGACAGCTTTTAATAGGAAAAAGAAGGGGAAAAAAGCCCGTTTTGACCCTTGCATGAGGACAGGTCCAAAAGGCCACCTAACAATCTACTCGTGGTCACCCATGCACACCCCTGGCTCCAACTTGGCACTGGTCCTACAGGCTCAGCAGCAAGGCCAAGAATGAACAAAACTGCTGCGGGTGCTTCCCTGCCTGTCTCTCTCCATCAATTTATCAGGCCTAGGGAAAACAGACAACATCAGGCTTCATGTGGGATTTCTCAGCAGGGCTCCCCTCTCCCATCTCAGATCTGAGAGACTGTGGTGATTTGTATCTTTGAATATGTTTTCAGTTCATTTTCCTTTTAATGATGCTGAAGAAAAGGGTGTCAACACAAAGGAAGATGTATCTGTCACTCTGCACCACTCTGGTTTCTAGCAGCAGGCAGGCTGCTGCTTGAAGCTGGCAAGAAAAAATACAGTGCTTGGGTTTGTTGTTGGTTTTCTGGGGAAGGAAAAAAATGCCAATGCTGATAACTCATTGGCTCAGAGCATACAAAGCTGTCAAGTAAAAAAAATGCACCCAAAGATTTTCCTCAAAAACCTGAAACCTTCCAAATGTCACCATGATGCTTCAGACTGCTTCCTCTTGCATGGCATACCCTGTGTCCCAGGGTGGCTTGGACCTGGAGACGAGCACCATCTCCCCTCCTTAGGGGTCCTTGTGGGAGTCTCTGGCTGCAGGATCCCATGGGAAGTGTCCGTCAGGGGAACACAGCTCATAAAGCGTGTTCTAGGCGAGAGGTACCCAGCTTCAGTCTCTGAGAGTCAGCGCATGGCTGAGGCTGGAGGTGCCTCTGGAGACCATCTAGTCCAGCCCATGCTCAGAGCAGGGTCGGCCGCTGTGGGATGCTCAGAGCCATGGCCATTTGTGTTTTGAGTATCTCCAAGGACGGAGACCTTAAAATTTCTCTGAGCAACCTGTGCCAGTGCTTGGTGACCCTCACAGTAAAAAAGTCAGTCCTGATGGTGACACTTCCAAACACAAAAACTAATAATTATTAACCTCTTTAGGTTTTCTCTTTTTTTTTTTTTTTTTTAAGAGAAAATGAAAACCAAAGAAATGCAATTATTTTCATTAAAAAAAATAATTTTGGAAAGGCAGCATAGTTTTCACTCAACAAACTGTCCTCATGGACACTTTGGGAGTAATCCCACTACTTTTATCCTCATACCAGAGCAGCACTTGCCTGTGGATTGTGTTGCACTGTTGACAGAAGGGATGGTGATACTGTCAGCCATTATTAGCATTATTTATTTAGCACCTGGCAAACGCAGTTGGGCCCTTTGTACTAGGCACTGCCCAAACAAACTGGAAGGAAGACAACCTGTTCCCAAAGAAGGTGTTATTTACCTGTTAAACAGTAGGCTGCAAAGAAGTGGGTGGAGGGAAGCAAGAACATCAAAGCTTTTGTGCTAGTCTCTGAACTTTAGCATCATTGCTTCCCTCATCGTGGCCGTACATGGGAGAAGAGTGAGATCCTGGCTGCAGTACCCAAGAGCTGGTCAAATGGATGGAGATGTCTTGTAGGTGTTACCTTTTTCTTGAGAAATATGAAATCACTCTGGTGCCTTTTGGATGCTGTATTCATTTTTTAAAAGTTGCAGTGTGAGTGCACTGAATAATTAATACATATTTTAGATGGACACACTTTTTAAAAAACATAAGAAATAGTCATTTACAATTTTCAGTTGCAGTGTTTTTCAGTCAGGAAATTAACTCAAGAGAAAAAGAAGCAAGTGCACAGCTATTTCTTCTCTTGGAAAAATGCCTTTCCATTGAAAAGACATATTTTTGAGTCTGCAAACAGGAGTGGCAGGGGATTTCTCTTCCTGATGTCTCTTCCCAAGTAGAGGAAGAAAAATCATGGTTTCACCAGAGGAAGAAAATGTGGTGGTTAAAGGGGTAGGTGTCAGAGTTTTGAAGGGTGTCCAGGACTTTTGGGGCAGTCCAGCACCTGCCCTTCCAAATGCCTCCACTGTGAAGAACACCTGGAAAATTTAAGAAAGAGGATGAGGTGGTAGAGTTAAGCAGATAGTTTGGTGAAAATCGTGTCTTTGGAGATTTTAAAGAAAAGGTAAGACACTGATGTAGGAAGGCACACCTAGGTACCCTCAAAGCAAAGCATCTTTGTCCGTGGTTTTCCACTTAGCTCAGCTCACTTGGCCATGAAGCTTTGCCAGCAGGTGAGTTCACCTGAAGGAGAATTACTCTCACAATATGGCCATCTCCTTCCTCTTACTATGAAACTGTTTTTCCTTTAACTTCAAAGTCAGTAAAGTATGTTAGTTTATGATTACCAGGTGGTATAACCACATACGATAGAACTACGGGTTTCCTGAAGCTAGGAAAAGATACTAATTCTCATAAACCAAAGCCAACTAGAAGAAAGCATCAACAGCTTTCAATACATTTGTTTGGCTTTTTTCTTTTCTTTTTCTTCCAGTCCTCCATACCTGATGTGAGGTTGCTAGTTATTCCAGAGATTTTAGAGGGTTTTATATGTATTTACCCAGTTTTGGTGGGTTTTTTTTAGTATTTTTATGCTTTAGTCATGAGTGTGTTCTGGTTCATCAAGGAGCTGGTGGTGTGCTTGCAGCCTGTTAAATGAAGTTTTCCCATATGCTGGCCTTTTCCACCTAGTTAGACAATATCCCATTTTGGAATGACAAAACACTTGTTTTTGCAAGATGAAGCAAAAGGAACTTGAACAGGTCTCTCAGGCCTCACAAAGGCAAAACTCCCATTAATGGCAAGGACGAAACTGCTTTGTGTGAGCAACACCTCAGTGCTAAGGACACTGGTGCCAACTTTCGCTTCTAACCAAGCAGGCATTTCAGAGGGCTGTAGAAGAGATGTTGCCTCCCCGCTCCCTTGCATCCCGAGTGGTGCCAGCCTGCCCTTGCAGCTGGCCGTACTCCCCCTTGAAATGCTCAGCGTTGCCCTTTGCCCATCACCTGCCAGAGCCCGCGGCTGTGAGCGCCGTACATTGGTGCCTTGTAGGGTAAAGCAGCCAGGAGCAGCCCTGGTGCTTGCTGCAGGCAGAAGGCAGCATCTCACGTACTGAGGATTTGGAGCCACGGAGGTTTCTCGCACGGTTTGAAAGCAGGAGCTGGCATCCACCAAGACGTGGGCATGTAAATCCAGCCTCAGCATCAAAGACATCTGCTCCCATGGGGAGCAACTGGGAACTTCTTATAGACTTGGTTGCAACACAGCTGCTGTGTCTGGCTTTGAGGGCAATGGTGGAGAAATAAGGCCAGGATAGAGGGTGGCATCTCGTTCCTTCCCAAGGAGGAGAGGCAGGGCTGAGCATGCAGCCATTATTTTGGCACAGGCACCATTTAGGTCCCTCTCTGATGCTCTGTGTGTGCAGACCATATGTTACATCCCAGCTTTCTCTCCCCTGTTTACTTCTATCCATTTTCCCATGTGCTATCAGCCCTGAAGCTCTTTTTTCTCTTCTAGTCTCGGCCAGCAGACTGTAATTCCTAGGTCATCTTCAAAGGAGGCACAGAGCAGATAAACCCCAAGTTCTGGGGTGATTCTGGAAGCTGATCCTCCGGCAAAGCCTGGAAAAGCCTTGCCTTTCAAGGGAGCAGTCAAAGTACCCTCTGAAACACAAAACCATTCACCCGGTTACAACAGAGTTATTCCTTTGACCCACACAGTAAAACATGTAAATTTGTAGTGTAGAGGAGGCACCCAGTATTACGACTGTCTTTCTGTTACCGCACTTACGGATGACAGCAGTCAGCTGTCTACTGGAGCCAATAGTCAGGGTCTATTGGAGATTGTAATAAACTAAAGTAATTTTGACCAGTCTCGTAGAAAGGTGGCTTCGGTGATACCTTGCAACAATCTCCAGCCCATTCCAGCCAGATTTGGTTTAATCCGTGCTGCAGTTAGTGTTTTCTTTGGAACTGCAGTGTTCTTCTCAGAAATTTGTTCACCCCCAGCCTGTATTTACTAAGGAGCTGCCAACTAGGCCTGGGTTCAGCGACGTTTACAAGGCTGGCGTTACAAGGATTTAAACAGAAAACAATACAAAAGCATACACAAACCAGAGCAGTTCTCACTGGCAGTTCAAAAATGCTTGCAGGGGGTCATGGGTGTTTGTCTCAGATTCAGAGATGTCGCTTGTCTCTGACTCAGACTCTCTCATCTTTCAGTAAAACTATACTGTAGAAGAACAAAAAAGAATTTGATTTTTTGGTTTTCTTTCCAAGCAGCTCCAAGACCCAGAGAAAGAGCTCTCAGGATGCCAGAGCCAGCAAAGTCCACCTCTGCCCCCAAAAAGGGCTCCAAGAAAGCCGTGACCAAGACCCAGAAGAAGGGCGACAAGAAGCGACACAAGAGCAGGAAAGAGAGCTACTCCATCTACGTCTACAAAGTGCTGAAGCAGGTCCACCCCGACACCGGCATCTCCTCCAAGGCCATGGGCATCATGAACTCCTTCGTCAATGACATCTTTGAGCGCATCGCTGGAGAAGCTTCCCGCCTGGCCCACTACAACAAGCGCTCCACCATCACCTCCCGAGAGATTCAGACAGCCGTGCGCCTGCTGCTCCCAGGAGAGCTGGCCAAGCACGCCGTCTCGGAGGGCACCAAGGCAGTCACCAAGTACACGAGCTCCAAGTAGCCAGACACCATCTCTCCAACAGGACCATCAAGCACCAGACCATCTGTGCAAGCACAGGTAGGCAGCCGCGGTCCGGATAAACGTCACAGCTATTATCCACAGCAATTCACAGCCTTGGGATGGGCATGAGAAGCTGTCTAGTGGAAGAGGAGACAGTGATCTGGATGTCGGCTGATTTTCATAGTCTGTTTGGGACGTACGACAGGTTCTGCGGGGCTGGTGGAGGAGGCCTCTGCTTTCACATCTCATCCAAAGGACTGACCAACTGCAGTACGTCCAAACTCTCCTCTGTGCTTGGCAAACATGCATGTTTGGTGCTGGCGGGGGAGACTGGCAGCGGTAACACAGAGAGGCCGTCTCTGAAGTCTTCCTGTTTGGCTGCTTTCTCACAGTCACTCGAGACGGGCACTGAGGAGTCAGCGCTGGTATCCTCTCCCTCGTAGCCTGGATCCATCCTGGTGTAGAGTGGCACAGCCCACCCTGTGCTAGCAGAAGTGTCATTGACAGCTACCAGGTGCGGGCTGTAGAGTAAAATCCATATTGATTCAACAGCTATCTGTGTTTGACAGCCTTTTTTAAAGAGCAAGCCTGGCGGGCAGGCAGATTCCCGGGCTGATACCAAGCACTGTTCCTCCTCGTCACTCCTGATGGATGAGCCATGGAGCAGGCTGAGGGTGCCAGCGCTGGAGCTGCCTGCTGTCTCCCACCTTGTGCCAAGACAGACGCATGGACGAGGGGGGGTGTTGGGACTGGGTCGCTACTGGCTGCTGCTTTGCCTGCTCTAGGACTTGCTTTGATGTGCAAGACGTTGCTAATTCTGCTGCTTTTCAGAGACTTTCCCTGCCTCGTTGCCACCTGGGTGCTCCCTTCCACCATAAAAGTGGGTGAGACAGGGTGGTGCCCAAGGGGGTCCTTTCCGCTGCAAGCGCTGGGGCGGTGCAGGACAAACAGCACAGACATGTCAGGAGGGGACTGAGGATTTGGGAAGGCATCCGGAGCGGGAGCAGAGGTGGTTAATGCAGTTTGGGAAGAGGCAGGCTCCCCGCAGAGATCGCTGCGAGCAGCTCACCTGGCCCTGCCTTCCCTCCTTTATCCACCTGTTAGAAAGCAAAAGCAAAAACTGGGGCTGGGTGGATATACAGGGACACTTGCCTGCATCCCAGTGATATTTTAAAGATTAAATCATTTCAGACTACTTCAGATACTCCCCGCGTCTTCTCAAAGTCCACAGTAAGGTGAGCAATAATAAATTCCTCATAAAAGCCATAGAGATTAGTGGAGGGACATCTCAGTTGCAGGTTTATCTTGCCCAAACTGCTGGATAGCAGAAAAGCACGTGTAGAACTGGTGTGAAGTTGAAGCTTCCTACTCAAAACACAAAATTAGCCAACACTTAAAAAAAAATATCAAAATCTCTGGTAGGCAGTAGCTCTCAGATAAAAAATATTCATGTCTAAAACAACAACCACTTTCTGCAGCTTATTCCATAAATAAAAACGTCATCAAAGACACAGGATCCAGAACTAAGTGCAGGTTCTCCCCAAACTCCAAGACCTTGCTTTTAATTGAAAGGTAAATTCATACCTCAAAATAGCAACCTTGCAATACATCTCTCACTTTCCCTTACATTTATCTCTACCCTGTTTCTTTATACCTTGAAAGTGATGGAGACCGTTGACAAATTTATGTTGGTTTTGGAGCTGAAGGACTCTGCAGCTCCAGAGGATTCAGTTATTTCTTGTTATAACAGTGTTGCAGTCATTTTCCAGTTGGTCTGAGAAAAGGACCGCATAGACCTGGTCAACAAAGGGCACCTCAGAAACCTGAGAGCAGCGTGGGGTCTCCTGTAGTCTCTGCGCAAGAGCAAAGGTCAAGTTGCTTATGGGCTGCTCCCGTCCCCCTGCTTTGGGTTTGAACACCCCACACCTGAAAACGGGCTGTCCTCCCATAATTTACTCGGTGATAGCACAC